ATTTATTATTTACGATATTTGTTATAATTTTTGTTTAATCACTTTATTTCAACTTTTTTTTTTTTGCTAATTACGTAATCGCTCGAACTTTGTTAAATCTTAACTGTATCCCGAACAACAACCGAAGTTGTAGGAGGAAATTCACCTATTTTACCGATCTAAGGATCCCCTTTTCCAAATTTTAATATCGACTCAAAATAATTTAAAAAGACAAATTACAATAAAACGGTTTATTATCCAACTATCAGAAATTTCAAAACATGCCAAGGAAGAGAGGAAGGAGCAATTAAATAATTAAAATTATAAAGGATTTAAAAAATATATATATAAAAATGGGGAATATCGCACTTCTGACAATCGCTGCGAGTGTATGGGCTGAATTTAGAGAATCCGTGTTTCTTGCACGGACAACTGTATGAGGCCCGCTCACGCTTCGGAAAACCTGATTTATTCGTGTACGCACCAGGCGGAAAAACAAAAAATATCGTGTATCCACAAACACTCCAATAAATACATAGAATTGAAACGACACTTTGAAATGTTTTCCCCATGAAAAAGAATAATAATAATAATAAGTTTCAATAAAAATGATAAAATGTAAATTGAATTTTATCATAACGAGTTTGCTTGAATTTCCTTTCTTCTGAGATCGCAGCAATGCGCGACGGATAAGCTAGTTGTATATAATTGCAGGATAATAACCGGAATTCAAGTTGTTTGAATTCAAAATTTTTCTTGGAAAAGTGTTAAATAGATTACAGACAATACTATTTAAAAGAAACTACTTAGTAGGCTATATTTAAAAAAATATTATTTAGTAAGCGTGTTTTTATGCTAAAGTTTATAGAAAAACAAATGAAAAACTTAAAGATCAATCTGTCTAATAGTATGACGTAATCTTTTATTATTTCAGATAAATATTAAAGGAAAACCAATTTCCACAGACAACACAAAGGAATCCACTACTTTGAGTCATTCTGGTTATAAAATCGAAAGAGGTAAGAGTCTTAATGCTTTTAATACTATAAAAGTATCTTTCTATTGATAAGAATAATAGGTAATACACAAATTTATATTAATATAAATCGAAATGATAACATTTGATAAACGTTGCGAATACGTTGTGTATAGCGAATAAGGATTTAAATATAATTTAATATTATCAATAATATTTAATTTAGTTGATAGAATTAAAACTGTCAATTGAAACTGTCAATCATACAACAGAGAAAAGTCTAATTTAGATGTTTTATATTTCAATGAAACGAGCAATTATTTATTATGACATTTTCACGATGACATGCTGCAATTTATAATCATATTTTTAATATATTTAATTTAAAATATATGCTAAATATATGCTCTTCATCTCAGATTAATAGTGGCTTTGCCTCTGTACATTATACTTTTCCTTTGACAATGGAGTTTTGCCGGTCATTTATTAACTGTTTTCACCAGAAAAGATTTTAATTGAAATAAGGTGGTTTCGATCTTCATTAAAAGTTCGTACACTGTTAATCGGTTTCTCAATTTTTTTCAAATTATGGCCCAATTATAATACTAAATTCGATTTTTTTAAACAAATACTGAAGAAGTCTGTTGATGTATTCTATTGTTTTTATCGATAAACTGATCTGTACTTTCAAAATTTAGCCTTTTTCGTATTATAATAATTAATGATATAAAACGACTTTTTATTTAAAATCTCATAACAGATGGCGCCATAACCAATTGTAACATTTTTCTGATAAAGTTCCGTAACTCTTTCTCAAATTTTGTTTATTTTCAAATTAAATTCTAAATAATAATGTGCAATGCCATAACATTACACATTTTTTTTTTTGCTTATGAAAGCCAGTACCACAGTGAAAATAAATTATCCATCGTTAGCAAACTGGATACATAAACACATCACTGAAAAGCTCCATCCAAGTTATTTTTTACCTTAGTTATTAAGTATCTGTGCATATAATATTAATTTAAGATTAAGAAAAGCATCCTGGAACCACTTCTAATTAGATAGGGATTGTATTAATCATGGAATAAACGTTATCTGTTGACCTACGTACTAAGCAATATGTGCTTGTAAGGAATGTTGGAATGCCATGAGGAGAGGATATTTCTTGATACAGAATACACGTGAGAATAAATCCCTGTACACATAGATTATACTTATACATTATTTGCGTCGAAAGAAGTTATTATTGCATATAGACTTATGTATTATATATGAAAAAAAGTGTGAGGAAGTGATACGCAGATACGTAACTCACTGTGTACATCGTACATACGTCTGAATTTTCAGACATAAAGTTTTCAACGTCGACAAATAGAATATTGTAAGGTATTTTATATTTTTCTGCTAATGGATGGTCAGAACGTTCAGAAATGGGAAAACCCCGGAATATCGAACTTTGATTGGATAACTTTGATTGTGTATGGAGCAATGTTCCCTCTAATTTTTTTGTCGTAGAGCGGAACACACTTCTCTGAGCAAAATATTTTTCTGATCATATATATATATATAATCTAATTTTTTTCTATAAAAATTAAAATAATTAATTATAAAGTATAGATTAAAATTAATTTTAAGACATACTTTTATACAAAATATTATCTCATGTCAATGATTTAATGCATTTAATTAAAATATACGTAGCAATAATCATGTTGCAGACAGAGTGAAAAATAAGTAAACAGCAATTCAAATCATTGTGCATGCTCGCCTGTGCGGCACATAAATTCTCGTGCACGACAACAATTTGAGCAGTGCGCGGCCGCGCAGCTTAGAGGGAACTTTGACTATATCTCGACCCTTTCGATTTTGATCGAACCTTGAAACTTTCGATCGTAGTTTAGACAATGATGATTTCTCTCCTGCCATCCAAGAATTTTCCCTCGTTAAAACGTTTCGTTTACCTGGTTTATTTTTCCAATTTTTCACCTGTTTTACGAGCGACACAATCAGGATTCGAAGTTACCTCTATGACATATATATATATATAAATGTTATGAGGTAACATTGAATATATATATATAAATTATAACACGTGTGCTCCAGCCTAAATAAAGACTTGATTTATTTACATTCGCTTCACTTCTATTTTATACATTTTCTTCTACATAATATATAATAAACTATATTTTAGCAAGTTTAAAGAAGGGTTGAAAATTATTTTGACATCGTTATAATGTTGGGCATTTTTTTATTATATTTTAATTTAAAAAATTACAAGGCTGCTAGTCTAGGCCGGAAGTTCGTGTAAAGTTACTTGGTATTTCAAACACTCACTTCCGTATCTGGTCTCGATTTTCCTATACTGTATTTAACTCCGTTCTTGAGATTAAGGAAGGGTGAACGAACAACAGTGCGAACCACAATACCGAATTTTGTAATCCTACAGATATCAACGAATAAAAGTATACTAAATAGCCTATTTGCTAAGCATCGAATTTCGGTAGATGATTATATTTGTAGTATTAACATCTCTTACATAAAAATTATTATACAAATAAATAACACTGCAATAATACATATGCTGTAATTTCTACAGAACGAAGTGTAAGACTTTAATATAAAAAACAATAATTGAACCGAATAAATAGTAAAAATACAAAAATGTAGTAAAATTTTATTTAAAATTATGTTTATATTGTTTTAAAGAACATTTCGAATGAGAAATAAAGTTTTAATTTAAGAGAAAAGCAGAGTATTTTAACATTCGATATTGCTTGCATACTATCATTTCCCTTGCTGACAGCTTGGGGTGTTTGTGTCACGTGATCGAAGGGACCGGTTCAAGGAGTCAGTGAAACTACTTGTCGCTTATACTATGATATATTAGATAGTTGGACAAAGAACCGTCGGTTGGTACATACGTTGAGACCAGCGGGTGGAGGATACGTAAATAGTAGGTAGGTTAGATACTAGCTTTCTTAATTGGTATTTAGTAGAAGTTATTGGCGGCGTAGAACTGGTTATATAATGTTCGAGTTCGGAATCCTTGGTCTAAAACTAGGTGGTAATAAACTGGTCATGGTCGGCGAACTTTCAATGGCGGATCAACTCTCGATGATGAGACCGCGAGCTAACTTGTTGTCTTCGATTTTTCGCTTTTATTTGGAGGTCCTCCGCTTTTCTTCTCATGCCCATCTTTATAAATACATATATGTGTATATATGAATATGTAAATAATCGCTTATAACATCGCTTATTATAGTCGATTGTTGTATTAATAAGTAAAGCATCTAATAGACACTATTCTAAACAGATGTAAACTGACCTACATTCGGCGAAGTCCACCACCCATAGTGGAAAGAGGGGACATAAACAATACGTTTGTAATCAAGGCTGTAAATTTCACCACGTTGCACTGTTTGTTCGAAAGGAAAAAATATATATATTTTCAAGTTATAAACATTGCAAATTAATCGGTACTTTCTGAAAAATATATTTTTCGAAAATTTGTAATTTAACTATTATTAAAAATTTAACCATAGTAAACAGATATGTTTATGATAGAAAATAAAAAATAGATCAATTTTAATAAACCTAACGGTGTTAATTGACAACAGTGAATTATAAACACTAATTTGGATTACTATGCATAATTATAAACAATACAATTGAATTTATTTTCCTGTTGGAATCAATCGTAAAAAACAGACAAATAAACTTTGGCGCGTTATAACTTCATGGGACCAGGGAAATTTAAATTAGGAGGGGCCACGTAAAGTTTATTTATTAGTATTTTGATTAATTAATGATTACTTTTAATGATATATTAAACTTTCGTTTATATTTTTTTGAAAATTTCATACAGTAATATCCTTAAATTTAACTCGAAATTCATAAGTTTGAAGAATAATTTACCTTCACTACGTAAAAGTGCTTGTTATCCGAAAGGAAGTGAAGCGAAAGCAATGACTTAAATTAACCTTTGATTTCTTTAAAAATGTAAAATACAGTAAAATAGAAAGCAGATTTAAAGTAGAATCACACATAAACTGTGTGTGATTCATGTTTATTTACAATAATATAATCCAAGAAAAAAATTTTGTCAGGATATTTGGAAAATTAGCAGAAGCTGCTCTACAAATTCAATTCTTTTATTGATAAATGGTAATGAGTCAGAAAGTTTTAGATTTTAACGAAAACTTAATTTTTAATTACAATTCAGAGGTGGATTCCAGGAACAATAATTGTTCACCATATATCACATGGGTTTTCGTAGGTACGAACTTTCACGCGAGTTGGTGACGTGCTACTCCTAGACTTTCTTGAGTGCACGCTAACAATAGAACTGAGTTTACTTGTCGGTCTTTGTTACTCGCTCTAAAATTCGAGTGAAATTAATGTGGATATTTATTATTTGATATTGATTGATAACATTTTATTCAAGAAGGAGAGGTAAATGTTTTCTATTATATAAATTTCATTTATTTATTTATGCAAATATAAATTCAAACTCGACGGTTTCAAAATCTTTCATTGAAAACAGATTGTTGACGTACAAGAACATTTTAAACTGAGAAAATAAAGGTAAAAGTAAAGCCAGAAAATGAATATTCAGAATTTATATTCAACGAAAGTGATGAAAAGTTTGAAGTTTTAAATAATTGCAAGACAGAATTTAATACGGATACGAAAACATTCTGTAGAAGAATTAAATCTGAACCTTTACAACATAAAAATATACAGGTGAGTAAAATGTACTTTTGTATACGACTCTAGCGTTGCTTTAAAATGTGTTCGGGACTTAAGTCCCTCCAGTTTTAAAATAGGGGGACTCTACTCAAGGTCGCTCCTATTTTCGATAAAATCATTTAGAGATGGACGATCATCACAAAATAAAAAACCTAAACTTATTCTTTAACAAAATAATCTAGCAACGAGTTGCGTAACTTTTCCGGCAAACAAACTTTAAAATTGTATGTCGCACTCTCTGTTAGGAAATTTTATTTAAAAACATTTTTATACTATTAGTTTTTATAAAAT